AGATCGAATCTTCTGGCGCTCATGTGACCTTATGTGCAGTTGCGAGCGCCGTAAAACCTCTACTAAAACAAAACAAACTTACGAAAACGATTCCCGTATCATGATCATCTCCTGCCTCTTTCACCTTGAGTATATGATATAACATAATATAACGCACACACACACACACACATATATATCGCCAAGAAGATTTTCCCACCTGTCTCTGTTCTGGGCGATGATCATCTTCTCCACCTCCAGCCAGCTGTGTCCCATACACTTGTACTGCCCCCAGATCTCACTCCCAGGTGGATCCAGGTCTTCCTTTCTTCCTCGTCCCTTGTGGATTCCATCTTTGGCTTTGTCTTGTTCCCATTGTGGGCTGGCTTCCTGACCATGTGTCCAATCCACAACCGTCATTTCTTTTTTCTTTGTTCTTTTCCTCCTGTCAATTCGATTCCCGAGTAGGAAGTAGCTAGGTGGTTGGCGGGTGTTCTGGTTTAGGTTTGCTCCTTCCTTCTTTCGTGTTCTGTCAAACATCTATCGTCGATATCTCTCCTTCTTTTCTTCCTATGTTACTCTCTAGAAACACTTCTACATCTAATCCTCTGCACTTTTTTGACCCATTTGTGTTGCAAGTGCCGTAAAACTCTTATTTCTAAACAACCCCCCCCCCCCCCACAAAAAACGACAACTCCAACTAGGGTGGTTGGCGCCGGGTGCTCTGGTGTGGTATAAATTGCTTCCTCTTTCTTACAATCAAACATCTATGCCCCTTATCTCGCCTCCTTCTTTTCTTTGTACGTTGTTACTCTCCAGAAACACCTCAATAATTTTCGGCACTTGTATGACTCATTTGCTTTTTAAGTGCCATAAAACTCCTACAACAACAACAACAACAACAACAACAACAACAACAACAACAACAACAACAACAACAACAACAACAACAAAGAGAGAAAAAGAAAAAGGGTATCATTTTTGGGGTCTGTTTTAAGAAGAAAAAAAAATAGAAAAAAATAGAAAGAAAAAGGAATGGGGAGAGGTGGGGATGAGGTAGGTAGTGGGAATGACGGTGGGGGGTGGGGGTAGGGGGCAACTGTGTTTGATGATCCGCAAGAGTGAACTATGATTGTGTGCGGCAGTTAAAGGGGAGTTCTTTTGTGTGTGTGTTCATGACTACTTGACTTTTCGAGCGTTGCGTGGCTATGTGTGTGTGTGTG